AAAAAAAAAGATGGAAAAAGAAGAGAAAAAGAAAGAAGAAAAATAAAGATTTTAAAATGTGTTCTTTATTCCTATAATTATCTATAGAAAGATGAGACAATTATATAAACCAGAGTTGTTCAATCTTTTGGCTTCCCTGGGCTGCATTGGCAGAATAAGAATTGTCTTGTACCACACATAAAATTAAAATACACTAACGATAGCTAATGAGCTAAAAAAAAAAAAAAGTCTGTGCATAAATCTCATAATGTTTTAAGAATTTGTGTTGGGCTGCATTCAAAGCTGTGCTGGGCTGCAGGCTGGGGATTAGACAAGTTTGATATAAACAATTCCCTAAAATACATGAAAGAGAAACAAAGATCACGAACTTCAAAATAATGTTTTTCTTTTCCTTTTTTTCTTGTTTTGTTTTTTGAGACAGGGTCTTGTTCTGTTATTCAGGCTGTGCAGTGATATGATCGTAACTCACTGTAACCTTCACCTCCTGAATTCAAGCAATCCTCCTGCCTTGGCCTCCTGTATAGCTGGGACTATAGGTGCATGCCACCATACCCAGTTAATTTTGTTTATTTTTTGTAAAGATGAGGTTTCACTATGTTACCCAGGCTAGTCTCAAAATCCTGAGCTCAAGTAATCCTCCTGCCTCAGCCTCCCAAACTGCTGAGATTACAGTTATGAGCCACTGCACCTGGCCTAATTTTTTTCTTTTAAAAAATATTTCTTCTACATAAAAATAATTTTCCATTTCAAGTTCATAAAAGCTATTTTAATATTTTAAAAAGAGATATTGTTTGGGCCAGGCACAGTGGCTCATACCTGTAATCCCAACACTTTAGGAAGCTGAGGCAGGAGGATCACTTGAAACCAGGGGTTCAAGACAAGCCTGGGCAACATGGTGTACAAAAAATAAAAAATCAGCTGGGTGTGGTGGCCCATGCCTGTAGTCCCAGCTACCTGGAAGCCTGAGGTAGGTGGATCCCTTGAGTCTGGGAAGTCAAGGCTGCAGTGAGCCATGATTGTGCCCACTGCATTCCAGCCTGGGTGATGGAGCTAGACCCTGGGTCTATTTAAGGAAAAAAAAAAAGAAGGCCGGGCATGGTTGCTCACGCCTGTAATCCCAGCACTTTGGGAGGCCAAGGCGGGTGGATCATGAGGTCAGGAAATAGAGACATCCTGGCCGACATGGTGAAACCCTGTCTCTGCTAAAAATACAAAAAAAAAAAAAAAAAAACCTGGACATGGTAGCTACTCGTGAGGCTGAGGCAGGAGAATTGCTTGAACCCAGGAGGCAGAGATCGCAGTGAGCCAAGATCGAGCCACTGCACTACAGCCTGGGTGACAGTGCAAGACTTCGTCTCAGAAAAAAAAAAAGCAGCATAGTTTGTGTGTTAGGCATAGTTTGTATAATATTAGCTCTATCACCAGGCTGGAATGATACAGACTAGGCTAAAGTACAGTGGCACAATCATGGCTCACTGCAGCCTTGACCTTCAAGCGATCCTCCCACCTCAGCCTCCAGAGTAGCTGAGACTATAGGCAAGTGACTCCATATGTGGCTATTTTTTTTTTAAATTTTAATTTTTGTTTTGTAGAGGCAGGGTCTCCCTCTGTTGCCCAGGCTTCTCTCGAAGTCCTAGGATCAAGGGATCTTCCTGCCTTGGCCTCTCAAAGTGCTGAAATTACAGGTGTGAGACACCACACCTGGCCTTGAAAGACAGTCCTAATGTTGATGAAACAGATTTGTTTTGTAACAAGAGAACTTGTAGACTTCTATTTATATGGTGTTTAAATTATATTTAATTCTATTTTCGTGTGTTTTCCAACTCTAATTTTCTTTAACTTATAAAAGCAATCCATTTCATGATTCAAATAGGCATAAACAGAAGTAGAAGTATGAATCTTAACAAACTTGGATGAAAGTCTATGCTTACAGCTTTGAGGAGGTAGCATGGCTGAAAAATATATCCACCAAGGGAGTCTCCTTAATGTTAAAGGCATCATCACAGTCGCCTGAAGGGGGCTGATCTTCCATCTCTGACACATGTACTTCACCCTGGTCCTCCTCTTTGGATTCTTGCTGAGCCTCCCCCTGGAAATGACAGGAAACACAGGAACCTTTAGAAAGAGATTTACTATCTGCACAATCATTTTACTTGCATAGAGTAAATGAAGGCTGCCCTTAAGGTGAGAAGAGGTCAAGTATATAAAGCTACAAAAGAAATTAAAGAAAGCTGACTTAACAAGACCTAAGTCAATGAGTTATTGGTAACAATCTTGCTGGAGGACTTTGACTCTGCGCCACCCACCTCCACCCAAATGGAAAAGCATTATTTGCCCAATTCTCATTGGATTCTTTAAAAACCATCATGATCACCTGTGGCCCTGGAGTTAACTACTCTAGCTAATAGGTAATTTTGTTTTTTGAGACAGGGTCTTACTGTGTTGCCCAGGCCGGAATGCAGTGTCATCATCATGGCTCACTGCAGCCTCTAACTCTGGGCCCCCCTTGAGACTCCCAAGTAGCTGGAACTACAGGTACATGCCACCATACCTGGCTAATTTTTTTTTTTTTTTTGAGACAGAGTTTCACTCTTGTTACCCAGGCTGGAGTGCAATGGCGCGATCTCGGCTCACCGCAACCTCCGCCTCCTGGG